AGAAAAAATTTTGTATTTTAGGAAATTCGGTTTTTTGAAATTTTGAAAATTTTTGATAATTTTAGATTTTTTACCAAAGGGTGGAGACTATTAAATAAGTAAAGTGGTTTTAAAGAGCACAAAAATAATGAAGCAAAATGACATAAAAAAGAAGAAAAAATGTTGAATTTTAAGAAATTCGGTTTTTCGAATTTTTGATAATTTTTGATTTTTTACCAAAGGGTGGAGACTATTAAATAAGTAAAGCGTTTTTAAGAGCACAAAAATAATGAAGCAAAATGACATAAAAAGGAAGAAAAAATGTTGAATTTTAAGAAATTCGGGTTTTCGAATTTTTGATAATTTTTGATTTTTTACCAAAAGGTGGAGACTGTTAAATAAGTAAAGCGTTTTTTAAGAGCACAAAAATAATGAAGCAAAATGACATAAAAAGGAAGAAAAAATGTTGAATTTTAAGAAATTCGGATTTTTGAATTTTTTCGAATTTTTGATAATTTTTGATTTTTTACCAAAGAGTCGAGACTATTAAATAAGTAAAGTATTTTCCAAAAGCACAAAAATAACGAAGCTAAATCCCATAAAAGAGAGAAAAAAATGTTGAATTTTAAGAAAATCGGATTTTTGAATTTTTTCGAATTTTTGATAATTTTAGATTTTTTACCAAAGAGTCGAGACTATTAAATAAGTAAAGTATTTTCCAAAAGCACAAAAATAATGAAGCTAAATCCCATAAAAGAGAAGAAAAAATGTTGAATTTTAAGAAATTCGGATTTTTGAATTTTTTCGAATTTTTGATAATTTTTGATTTTTTACCAAAGAGTCGAGACTATTAAATAAGTAAAGTATTTTCCAAAAGCACAAAAATAACGAAGCTAAATCCCATAAAAGAGAGAAAAAAATGTTGAATTTTAAGAAAATCGGATTTTTGAATTTTTTCGAATTTTTGATAATTTTAGATTTTTTACCAAAGAGTCGAGACGATTTAATAAGTAAAGTATTTTCCAAAAGCACAAAAATAATGAAGCTAAATCCCATAAAAGAGAGGAAAAAATGTTGAATTTTAAGAAAATCGGATTTTTGAATTTTTTCGAATTTTTGATTTTTTACCAAAGAGTCGAGACTATTAAATAAGTAAAGTATTTTCCAAAAGCACAAAAATAATGAAGCTAAATCCCATAAAAGAGAAGAAAAAATGTTGAATTTTAAGAAATTCGGATTTTTGAATTTTTTCGAATTTTTGATAATTTTTGATTTTTTACCAAAGGGTGGAGACTATTAAATAAGTAAAGCGTTTTTTAAGAGCACAAAAATAATGAAGCAAAATGACATAAAAAGGAAGAAAAAATGTTGAATTTTAAGAAATTCGGTTTTTCGAATTTTTGATAATTCTTGATTTTTTACCAAAAGGTGGAGACTATTAAATAAGTAAAGTGGTTTTAAAGAGCACAAAAATAATGAAGCAAAATGACATAAAAAGGAAGAAAAAATGTTGAATTTTAAGAAATTCGGGTTTTTGAATTTTTGATAATTTTTGATTTTTTACCAAAGGGTGGAGACTATTAAATAAGTAAAGCGTTTTTTAAGAGCACAAAAATAATGAAGCAAAATGACATAAAAAGGAAGAAAAAATGTTGAATTTTAAGAAATTCGGTTTTTCGAATTTTTGATAATTTTTGATTTTTTACCAAAGGGTGGAGACTATTAAATAAGTAAAGCGTTTTTTAAGAGCACAAAAATAATGAAGCAAAATGACATAAAAAGGAAGAAAAAATGTTGAATTTTAAGAAATTCGGTTTTTCGAATTTTTGATAATTTTTGATTTTTTACCAAAAGGTGGAGACTATTTAATAAGTAAAGCGTTTTTTAAGAGCACAAAAATAATGAAGCAAAATGACATAAAAAAGAGGAAAAAATGTTGAATTTTAAGAAATTCGGTTTTTCGAATTTTTGATAATTTTTATTTTTTACCAAAAGGTGGAGACTATTAAGTAAGTAAAACGTTTTTTAAGAGCACAAAAATGATGAAGCAAAATGACATAAAAAGGAAGAAAAAATGTTGAATTTTAAGAAATTCGGGTTTTCGAATTTTTGATAATTTTTGATTTTTTACCAAAAGGTGGAGACTATTAAATAAGTAAAGCGTTTTTTAAGAGCACAAAAATAATGAAGCAAAATGACATAAAAAAGAGGAAAAAATGTTGAATTTTAAGAAATTCGGTTTTTCGCATTTTTGATAATTCTTGATTTTTTACCAAAAGGTGGAGACTATTAAATAATTAAAGTGGTTTTAAAGAGCACAAAAATAATGAAGCAAAATGCCATAAAAAAGAAGAAAAAATTGTTGAATTTTAAGAAATTCGTTTTTTCGAATTATTGATAATTTTTGATTTTTTTCTAAAGGGTGGAAACTATTAAATAAGTAAAGCGTTTTTTAAGAGCACAAAAATGATGAAGCAAAATGACATAAAAAGGAAGAAAAAATGTTGAATTTTAAGAAATTCGGGTTTTCGAATTTTTTATAATAATAATTTTTTTTATATTTTAAATTAAATATATATTAGGAAATAAAAACTTCAAATAATATAAAAAAAATTCAATTAAACACTTTGAAGGAATTCGATTAAAATTGAACTAGAAATAATTGAAATTCTGCAATAAGTTTTATTATTTATGAAAATAATTGAATAATGGCGAATAAATTTGTAAATAATAAAATTCCTGTGAATTCCAGTTTCAAATAAATATTTATTTCTCACCCTAAAGAAAAATTGTATTTGATTCAATCAATTCAAATTATTTGAAAAATATTTTTTCTTTCAACTAATTGAATAAAAATTATTTTCTTCAAATAAATATTTATTTGATAATAAATAAATTAATTCTCATTTGAATCAAATAAATTTTTTTTCTGTTCAGTGATTCTTTTAATAATTGCGGTAATTATTGCAAAACAAAAATTGAAAATTGGCACGTACAGCTTTATGGTAGTTGACAGGGACGTAATTTGCATGTAATTGAAAAGAAAAGGTAACGGCTGATTATAGAGAACAATGAGTTATTCAGCGAGGGCGTACAAAAGTGCGTCAGAAAAACAAAAGAGCTCTTGCACAAATACGACATCGAGTTTAATTAAAACGAGAGAATTAGGGAATTAAAACACGTGCCCTAAAAAATTGTCATTACGAGTTATAACCTTATGTCAACAGCCAGTTCTCGCGTTAAATCCTGTCACGAGAAATTTAGAGAGACGAAACATAAAGCGAGATGATTTTTATAAACACTGAGAAAAATTTTTTTTTAATTCTAAAACTAAGTAGCCAACTAAAAAATTATTTTTCGATTTTAAACGTATTTTATAATTGAATTAAACCTAATTTTTATTGAATCAAACTTATGTGTTGAATCAAAATTAATCTGTTCAATTCAAAAATTAATTTTTGCTTGACTATATACACTGAAAAAAAATTACTAAATATGTGTTTTGGTAATCAATTATTTTTTTTTTTATCAAAAACGAATTAGACAAAATTAACATTATTACACTGAAAAAAATTTATTTGATTCAAATAACCGATTAATTATTAAATTAAATTAAATATTTAATTGAATCAAATAATATTTATTGGAGCCAATTAAATGGTATTTGCTTCAAGTACTGAAATTATTGATTCAATTACCATGTAATTGACTCTAATAAATATTATTTGGTTCAAGTAAATATTTAATTGATATAATAGTCAACTAATCGGTTATTTGAATCAAATAAATTTTTTTTAGTGTAATAATGTTAATTTTGTCTAATTCTGTTTTGGTAATAAAATAAATAATTGATTATCAAAACACATATTTAGTAGAAAGTGAAAAAAAAACGTGTAGTAATAATGTATTTAAAAAAAAAATCACTCCAAGTGTATTAATTATCCACGCACGTGACTCGAAGGGAACTTTAAAGTACAGCAACGGCTGCAGATGCAGTTGAAATTGGATAAGATAAATGACTTGAGTCGCCGACGCGTGTGCCATTCCGGAAGTCGTTTGACCCAGTTTGTTTGTCAATCTTGTTTGTAAAGTTCGACCCTTAAGAATCTACGTAAGTGAAGGTCTCAAAGGTATACTCTTATACTCCTTGAGGATTCGAGGACCTAAAGTTCGCAGATGTATATATATTTTGACGCGTCGCCTACTCTTATACAATGAACGGGAGGATAAACAATTTTTCGACTATTTCCCTCGTTTTCCTGTCTTTAAATATTGTCAGCTCACGTGCTACATTAATCATGTCAATGTTGACAATATTTTTACCAAAAAAGATTAGTTAAATCGACTAAATAAGATTTACTCTCAACAGACTATAGAAATTTTATTTTTTTCCAAATTTTTAGAAATCGAATAAGTTTTATAGAAATTTGGTTAAAAAAATGCGCCTTTTGTATGTATAAATAAATCAATTTACAAATTTTTAAGTCGTAAGGTAAAATTTGTAACAACATAGTGACGTGATGATAAAAATATTATGTAAAATATTGTAAAAATAAATGTTACAAATTTATTTCTAATTGAATTAATTTAAATTAAAACGTTCAGATGAAATTATTTTTCTGCTTAAATATTTTTTTTCAAAAAAGAAAAATAATCAAAATTAAATATTAACTTGGTTGAGAATTAATTTTTCAATATCACAAATTATTTTTTCTCCGTTAGAATTGCAAGAAATAAAAATATATCGTCGTTTATTTGAACACTTAGAACTTCATGATAACTTTTAATTATTGCTTTTGAGAGAATGAAAATTAATTGAAACGAAAAATAATAATACTGAAAGAAATTTTGTAGCATAAAACAGAAACATAATTCTGTAAACAATACAATAAAACCGAAAAAAAATTATTGAAGTATTAATAAAAAATACTGTAATACTTTTGTCAATTGTGTCACTATTTTGTTAAAAAAGTTTCCCTTTCTCAAGTAGGGAAGGAAATTAAGTAAAAAAAATCACTGACTTGTTTAACGGCGATCCCACGTTGGTCGATGATTCATAGACGTGATAGAGATGAAAAACTGCTATCAGTTGACAAATTCAATTAGTCATTTCTTTTTCCTTTGTACTCTTATTGAAAACCAGTCTTACGAATCGCTGATTCCCTGACAAAGGGTTGAAAGAAATACCAACTATCCAAAACTTCTCCATGTCACTTTTAACTCCACTTTTCTAAAATATTTGAATTTTCTCTTTCCCAAAAGCTGCCTTCATATTTTCACTTGAAAGAGAAAAAAAAAAAATTTACAGTAATTAATTTGCAGTACGAAAAAAACAACTGTTTTTGAGGTTAGGTTGACACCGAACGTCAAAACCAAATAGTAATGAATTTAGATTTATCATTGAATTATAATATAAAAAATTTAATTTCTTCATGATCATAATTTTAATGAAATGTTGAAGACATTTCTACAGGAAAGTAGGAAAAATTCACTGAAAAATGTAAAATTTTTGTAACTTACGCAGCTCTGACAGGAATTTTCTGCAATTCACTGATATCCACTTTTCTATCGTCTTTTCATGTTTCCCCTTTTTGCATTTTTTTTATTCATCGATATTTCTGCAACATTTTTATAAATAATGACAATTTAGACCAATTATTCAGAGGTTAATCTAACTGTAAACAATGAATTTTCCAACAACACATGTTACACATTTGCCAAGACTGTCATGGCGTCGAATGCACAAGGAAATGAAAATGGGAGGAGTGGGGGGAAAATCTATAGGAATACAAAATGGCGGCGTAAATGGAAAAAAAATCAATAATCAGATGCTATCCGATATCAATCGATAATGATATTTTGCATTATTATGACTCAAATACTTGTTTTTTAGCCCACCGGACATGTACAAATAGAAAAAAACTAAATAATCGAGAAAAAATATCATTGTCGCCGGAGCGCAAAAAGGCAAAGCGTCCCATGGCGTCTTTTTTCTTTCGACAATCTGACCCGAAATTACTTTAATCAATGACAATTGCATGTTTATCGTAACATGTTACTTGAATTTAATATGATTTTCACGAAAAATGCGGGAGATATGATCGAATTTAATGTAAGAAAAATATGTGAGGGGGAAATGTCGGGGCGTCGGGGATGAATATTCAATATACCAATAATTACATTCTATATGCATTTTGCAGGGCAATATTTATAGATAATTAACAAGCAATTAACGTAAATTTATACCTCATTTCATTAATTAGTCGATTCTTTATCGATTCATCGGGATGTTTGGATTAATTCGGCATTACGACACAAGCGTCCTATCGCCATTTTCCTCAACTTTGGGAATGACGCTGCGCGCTTGCGCAGAATGGAAAATCGTCTCCTGCCTTCTTCCTGCAATCTGATTGGTTGCTACAAAATACACCTTTGGCGGCAAATTCAAATTGAAAATTAAAAAATGCTCTTAAATACGTGTAAAATGCAAATAAATATTAATTTTTTATATTGTTATTATATTAAGTAGATAAAATATAATAATAATAATAATAATAATAACAAATAAATATTAATAAATGTAATAAATATTAATAAATGTAATAAATAATAATAAAAATTTAATAAATAATAATAATAATAATAACAACAAATAAATAATAATAATAAATATAATGCATAATGATAATAATAAAAACAACAATAATAATAATTACTAAAAATAATAATTAAGAATAATCAAAAGAAAAAAATTAGTCTTAATGAAAAATAATATAATACAATTTTGACAATAAATTATTAAATAATAATTATTATCAGTAAAATAAAATAATTTTTTATTAAATCTAATAATTTTTAGAAAATAAAAATATTATTCTTGTAATTTTTATTAATATTCTTATTTTCGAAAATTAAAAAAAATTTAATTAATTAATTAACATTTAAATTAAATTATTATGCAATAATAATTATTAATAATCAAGAGCAATAAGTAACTCCCAATTATCAATCAATTAATTATTAATAATAATTATAAAAATAATAATAAATTATTCCATTTAATAAATGCTGTTAATAATTACACCTATAATGAAAAAATAAAATTAATAATTAATTCACAAATAATAAATAACCAATCATAAATTTAAAATAAAAAATTTAATTAAATAATAAATATTAACTTAAATTATAGTTATTAATTAATAATATATTATAATACACTGGAAAAAAATTTATTTGATTGAACTAACTAATAAATATTTACTTGAATCAAATAAATTTTTTTTTCATTGTTTAATACAAATTAATTATTAATTTTAATTAATTATAATTTAATAAACATTATAATTAACACATGAAAAATATAAGACAATAATTAAAAACTAAATTAAGATAAATAAAATAGTAGTTTAAAAGGTTTTGAAAAAATGAAGAAAAAATAATGTATTATTGTCAATAATAATGTTTAATAATTATTTCTAAATACCAATTATTAATTTGGATTAATTATAATTTAATAAATATATTATAATTAATACAAGAAAATTATAAGACAATAATTAAAAACTAAATTAAAATTAATACCTAAAATAGTGATTTGGAAGACTTTGAAAAAAATTAAGAAAAATTAAAAACGATGCATTTAAATTCAGAAAAATAAAAATTACAAAATTATAAATTACAGTAAATTTGGATTCAATTAATTATGATCCTACCGAGTACAAAATCTTCTATTATATCATCAAGAAAATTCGGCACGTGTTTCTTTTTCAAGAAATCTTCTCGACAATTATTCGAAGCGTAACGACAAATCCAATTAGAAAACTATAAAAATTTTCAAGAAAGAAGAAAAAAAGGGACACGCTTAAAAATAAATACCAAACACGTGCAGGTATATTATTCCTAAAACGGCAAAACTTGTGGAAATTTGTTTCGTTTCGGCAAGCCGATAAGCCAAGGGGCGGAAAAAAATATTTCTGACAAAATTCTGAAAAATCTCAAGAGAGAGAGAAAGAAGTTTATCTCAATTACACGGTTGCTTTAGTGACTTGAATGAGAAATGAACTGAGAGAGGAACATCCTGGTTTGTTAAATTTACAAGAGTGTGTATATATGTATATAAAATAACTATGGTCCGTTATGCGTGATTGTAAACCAAACTATGGTGAGTAAAACAGCAGTAAGCGGAAAGACAGTGGTCGCGCATCGCACGCCAATCATCCCTGCTGAACGCAAAACCGCACAAAGGATATTGCTCCGTTGCAGATGCAACGTCTTCGCGGCACTTTTTGCCCAACACGAATTACTCGGGCGTTACCCAAGAGACTTAGACCTTCCAGGATCGGATTCACAAAAAAATCATCATGCTTCCCTTTTTTTAATGAATATAAAGAAGTTCCAAATAATTTTTCCTTCAGCACGAATTTCCAAATTCTGTGTGCTCTTAATTTTAAAATTACTCCGAATTCTTAATTCCCATTGTTTTTGAATTAAAAAATTTCCAATCTAACAATTTTCTAATCTAGTATTTTTGTCAGAACTTCAATTTACTGAATTTATAATTATTTGCGACTTTTACATTTCTGAATTTTCACTGTTAATGAGAAGTAGATAATTGGATAATAAATTGGTTCAGAATTTTTAATTTTACTAAATTACTTTTAATATCGATTATTTTTTTGCATTTTAGTCTTAATTTTTATCTTAGACTCTTTTTGAAAAAAATTTTCAACCACGAATCAGCAATTATTAACTTCCTTCAAATTTTGCAAAACGAAACTCTGCTTTTTGAAGTTTTAGAAATAATCCGTTAATGTAAATACAAAAAAATTTCTGATAAAAAAATGAATTCGAAAATATAGGTATTACTCTTTTCAAAATTTACCAATCATCAATTATTAATTGAATTAATTAATTTCCTGCAAATTTTTCAAAACGAAACCATCTATTTTTTAAAGTTTTAGAAATAATCCGTTAATGTTAACAAAAAAATTTTAATCTTCTAAAAATGAATGTTTTGCGATAAAAAAAAATAAATTCGAAAACATTTTACTTGTTTCTTTCAAAAAATTCCTTTTTGGAAAAAAAATCAATTATCAATCAAATCAATTATTAAGTGAATTAATTAATTTCCTTCAGATTCTACAAAACAAAGCTTTCTACTTTTTAAAGTTACAGAAAATATTCATTGATAAAAGAAATAAAATTGATAAAAAAATTTGCAATCTCCTAAATATGAAAATTTTAATTTCTGAAAGCAATTTTTAATAATCTCGACAATATTCCTTCAGGCGGTTAATAATAAATGAAATAAAGATCTGTTCTCGCATCCCGAGCGCGCCTGCCAAAACCGCACAATTTTTTTCTCAAATATCGATTCAAGACGGCGTATAATTCGATATCGATAGTGTAATTCTATTCCAAACAAGTAAATGTAAGGTCTCTTGGTTTTACCGGTTCGTAAACAGGTTTTCATTTTTCTCAAAATAAGACGTTTTGCTCAAAATCAGTTTAAATTTCAAATTTTCTTATAATAAACTACTGTTTACTTTATCTGAATTTTAAGAATCCATAATCAGAAAATATTATAAAAAAAAATTATAAAAAAACTAATTAATTAAATTATGGAAAAAAGTAGCAAATTTGAAATAATAATAACTGATTGAAAAAAAACGGATTGAGAAAAAATTTTATAATTTGTGGAAATTAATTAATTGGCCAATAATTGATAACTAGTGAGAAAGAAAATAATTCTTCAAAAATAATATTAATACACCCAGAAAAAAGTTTTTGTTGAAATTTAAAGAAATCATTTGCTTTGACTTGCTTTTTCGATTGAAAATTAATTTTCCTTTGATTCAAAGAGAATTTATTTGATTCAAAAAAAATTTCTTCGGATGAAAAACTATTTCTTTGATTCAACGAGAATTTATTTTTATTTGATTGAATTAATTTTCCTTTGATTCAAAGAGAATTTATTTGATTCAAAGAAATTTTTTTTGGATGAAAAACAATTTTTTTTTATTTAAGGAGAATTTATTTTATTCACAGAAAATTTATTTGAATGAAAAACAATTTTTTTGGTTAAAAGAGAATTTATTTGATTTAAAGAAAATTTCTTTGGATGAAAAGCAATTTCTTTGATTCAGCGAGAATTTATTTGATTGAATTAATTTTCCTTTGATTCAAAAAGAATTTATTTGTTTTCAAATTTTTCTCCTTAAATTAAAAAAATTATTTCTTCGACTCTATATCAATAATAAAAATTCTTTCCTTCAAAGAAAAAATTTCTTGGATTCAAAGAAAATTTATTTGGTACAAAAACAATAAATTTATTTGTATCAAAGAAATTTTCCTTTTTAAATTAAATAATTATTTCTTTGACTCTACATCAATGATAAAATTTCTTTGATTTAAAGAATTTTCTTCGATTAAAACAAAATTTTAAAAAAATTTTCTTTGAATCAAAAACTCTTTTTTTGTTTGAGAAAAAAATTTACAATAATAAATTTTCTTTGATTTAAAGAATTTTCTTCGATTCAAACAACATTTTTTTCAATTTGTTTAAATCAAAAATTTTTTCATTGAATCAAAAACTCTTTTTGTTTGAAAGAAAAATCCACAAATTTTCGAATTTAAAAAAAGTAATATAAACTTAAAAAACGAGTCTAAGAAACAGATTTCCTTGAATTAAAAAAACCTTTTTCCCGGGTTTATGATTCGAAAATATAATATCTACTAATATAATTGGAAAACAATTAAAATTAGTTCTAAAATATAGAAAATTCTGCAAAATTTAAAAATTCAGAACCAAAAATCCGAAAAACTCTAGAATTAAATAAAAAATAATTTTTAGAATATACCCCGTAAAGGAAGTATCTAATTTTCTAGTGACAGATTCATGAAATGAGAGCTGAGCGCACTAATTGCCAATCAAGTTAAATTGCAAGTCAAAAGAAAAAAATAGGGGGAATTTCTAGCAGTTTTTCGAAACAAATTTTTCGAGATGTGTTGCGCGTATTTGCCAGCTGTAGAGAAGGAGCGCACCCGTAAAAGTCTGACAGACTTCTTGAAAAGTTTGAAAGACGTTTTTGCTCTTTTCATCCATCTGGCGCGTGCGTGACCTCCTGGAATTATCCTTGCATCCTGCAATGTCAATGATCGGCCTGATCGTTCCTTCCTTCCGGGCTTTTACCACCAAAAACCTTGATCATCCACTCCAACAATAATCCTTAACAAAACGAAATTTATTTAAAGTATATAATCAAAAGATATGCATATATATGTGTATAATTTAAACGTTATAGCACTGAAAGGCGGAAGTGACGAATATATCAGAAAAGTATCGATATTTTTCTCTTCCTTATAAATTACAAATTTTTATTGCCCCACCGAAAAGAAAAATTGTCTATAATTCTTTCTATTTTCATT